GCCACTGCAGGTTAAGTTGACATGTGAAATTAGAATCTGTGCCTAGTTTGTTGATCATCATGCACATTTGTGTAATATCTACATATATGTGTATCAAAGATCCTATTAATAAAATTTGAATGTTTTTTAAAACTTCTAGCGATGATTTCTCAATAATTACTTGAATTGATTTCAGTAAATTTTTTTTATTTTAATTTCATAATGTCATAGAATTAAAATAAAAAAAAGTTCATTAAATTTGGTTTAGTAGGTTTCAAGAAATTATAGAAAAAATATAAAAAAAAAAACTAAAATCGGTGAAATTTTTCCTTTTTTGAACTTAAATAACAATTTCTCAATATTAAATTATCCATATTTGATGAGTTTTTTTTTTATTTCAATTCAATGGGATTATAGAATCAAAATAAAAAAATTTATTGAATTTAAATAGCTGGTTGTTAAGAAATATTTATTAAAAAAAGTTGACTGCAGTTTTTTTATTTATAGCCACCAAAACTTTAAACGAAGATTATTTGGTGCTTATCTAGTCAAATTCGATTAATTTTTATTTTATTTTAATTCTATATGCTTATAGTATTAAAATAAAAAAAATTGTTTAAATTTAACTAGGTAAGTGCCAAATAATCTTTGTTTAAGTTTGGTGCTTATAAATATAAAACTGGGTAGAATTTTTTTTAACTTTTATTGAATATTTTTTTGACAACAAGCCATTCTAATTCGATAATTTTTTTTATTATTATAATTTTATGATCCCACAGATTAATAAAATAAAAAAAATATTATCAAATTTGAATAGTTTAATATCAAGAAATCTTCATTTAAAGTTCAAAAAAAAAGAAAGTTTACTGATTTTAATTTTTTTCTCAAGATTTTTAGTTTTTTTAAAAAACATTTTGTGGCAATTTCTCAAAAACTACTAAACTAAATTTAATAAACTTTTTTTTTATTTTAATTCTATAACATTTTGAAATTAAAATAAAAAAATCTTACTAAATTAAATCATGTAGTTATTGAAAAATCATTGCTAGAAGTCTTAAAAAACTTCTGAATTTTATTAATAGGATCTTCAATACACACATATGTAGATATTACACAAATATGCATAATAATCAACAAACTAGGCACAGATTCTAATTTCGCAGTTGACATATTCAGAAAAGATATACAAGGAGTAGTTTTCAAATTTTCATCATCGGTAGGATTCAAACTCTAGATATTGTTACTTGGAGGTGACAACTCTACCACTTTGCTATATCGTATACTCTTTAATTAATTATTTTATATTAATTGTATAGTATTTAATTAGTATTAAAATTAATTACTTATTTTATTTTTATTTTTAAAGTATTTAATTAGTATTAAAATTAACAATATTGCTAAATTACACCACTAGTTTTCAATACTACAATAATATTTATTATAAGCTGCAGTATAATATAAAGATCAGATATATTATAGGCTTTTTATTTTTTTAAAAAAAAAGAGCATAACTCAAAATTTTGCCTATGAACCCACTTTTAAGCTCTAATAAAAAAAATTTCTTGCAAAATTTTGTCATAAACCAAGCTCATTATATTCTAATTTTTGTTTTAATAAAAATTATTTTAATTTATATATTATACTGCAGTTTTATTTAAAATTAATATTTATTTTATATTAGATTATAATAATAAATAAATACTTGTAGTAAATATAAATAAATACTTACAGAATACTAAGTATTTCTTATTAAATAATAGTATTTAATTTTTATAAAATAGTAATTGGGTTACCTTTCTGATATACTATACATATAATATTTGCAATATCAAAAGTATTCTTTGTGTTTTTGTTCAAATAACACGACACACTCCTGACTATTTCAGAGCTATAATTTTTAAAAGCTATCTAATTCACCAAGATTGTACTTACAATCATCAATATATTGAACTTAAACTTATCTCTTCTACCAAACCTCTAATACAAAAACAATATTTATTTTTCCATTTTTATCACTTTTATCAACTCTCTAAGAAAAAAATTAATCTTTTCCAAAAACTTTTTACCAGAAAAAAAACAATTAAACAATTCCAAAGTAACAAACAAAACCAATCCAAATATAGAAATACTTCTCAGGACTTGGATTAGTTTGCAACTTAATCAATCACTCAAACTTAATTCTGCACTTTTACATTAACTTTTTAACTTCACCAAAACTCACCTTCACAAATTTACTTCTGGTTAGCAATTCCAAGTCTAAACAAAGATTAATTCTCTAAACTTTTTAAAAACAAAGTTTTAACTATTTACTCAAATTTATAGTCTCTAAAAAACTTAACTTCCTCACTTAATTTCTTCAAAAATTCAACTCCCAACAGTGTTTAAAATTCAAAAAAAAATCACTTACACAAATGCATTTTGTGCAACTTTTTTAAAAAGCTTTATTTGCATACTTAAGAAATTTTTTTAAAAATCCAAAAAAATCTAAAAAAAATACTTGCATATATGCATCTTGTAAACCCTGCTCCCAACTAACTCTAAAACTAATCATTCCCAATATGCTTATATCTCTACTTTTAAAAACCTACTTACTAAATTTACTGAACTTCTCTTCACCAAACTTAATTATTTTCATATCATTAGATCTTATTATATAATTTCTTATATTATTTTAAAGTAGCAATTAATTTTGCTTGCTTATATCTTTTTCTTTATAACAAATATAGAACAATCTATAGAAAACTTGATATTCACCCTCTTTGTCTCTTACTTCAATATAATCTTGAATATAAAAATCTTCAAAAACCTTTATTTTAGTATCTATAATAATAACTGCTTTATTATTACAACTACACTTAATATCTCCAAATCTAAATTTATTAATACTTTTCAAATTCTATTCTTAAAACTATATATCAATATATTTGACTTTTGGTTTGAAAACTTCTTCAAAGCTTATCAAAAACAATTTATGGAAATTAATAAAGAAAAAGTATACAACTATATCAAATACCAAATCAAAACTACTTTAGCAAAAAAATACAAAAAATTGATTTCCAAATCACAAAACCTACATCTTTTAAAGATCACTTTCTTCAAATATTCAAAAAAGCACTTTATTACATTTATATGTAATAATAAAAACTGTATAATTCTATTAAAGATACAGATTATACTCTAAAAAACGTATCTACACTTTTCTTTAATAACTTATTCAATCCTTTTTTACATCACTTAAAGATGATACTAACAACTCTTTTTGTCTCTAACTTTTCTATCTTTTAATCTGATTAACAACATATTGCAACATTTCAAAAATTAATTCTATCAAAATACAAAATAATCTAACTCTCAAAGCAGATCAAAAATTTGCAAAAATTAATAAACCAGATACACCTACCAAATAAATAGCCTATTATTTATACTCTTACCTTAAAGCTTACCAATACTGCAGCAAAAAATAACAGCATTTCTAATCTTAATCTTGATAAAGCTCTAAAAAAATTATTATACCAACCACCAATTCACATACTCTAGCTTGAATAATTCTTTACTACAATGTCCTCAATCAATCTAAATTTTTAATCTTACAAATTCAACAAGACTATGAATACAAATACTACAGAAAAATTCATTGTCAAACACTATAAAATTAATATTTCTACTCAGTTTGATGACACTTTCATTTTATCTTTAAACTCAAATAACTCTATATTTAGTTCACTTTCTCATTAAATCCTTCTATAAATAACATTAATATAGTTGTTATTTTCAAAATAATAATATTCTTTACATATTTTTATAAAAGAATGATGTTAGTAAATAGGCAAGAAAGCCTATTTATATAAAAACCAGATTAATAATAGCTAGACCCAATACACAAATAAGGCTATAGTATCATACACAACTGTAAAAACTAAGTACTGTTAACTTTCTCTAAGTGCAACTTCTCTCTAAATACAATTAAATAGTCTGGTTCTATATTGGGACTTATAACATAAATGCAAGTTCTTTATTCTTTAAATACAAAGTTTTTTTTACCAGTATGTATAAAATTATTTTCTCTAATTGCTAGATAATTTATTAACTATTTAAATTGGCTTATTTAGTTAAAGTTTTTTTTTAAGTGCAAGATATTTTGCTAGCCTGTTGACTTGCACTTAAAGTGAGTTTACTATATATAGTAAGTATCTCTATAGAAGAAAAACCAAATATCTCAGGTTTCAATTCCTAAGATACAACCTTACAACAATATTTTTATATCAAGCACTACACAATCTTCTTTCTCTTTTATGTTTTTAAACAATTCATTATCTACCTTCCAATTTACTTTTCAAAGATTCTAACAATAACAATATCTTTTTAAGACGAATCTAGATATCGCACCCCTGTGTAGCACTTATATTTTGCACCCAGGGTGTGATACACTTATATATTGTAAAAATAAAAAAGTATTATCACAGTATCGTGTGATCAAATTTAGCCAATAAAATTTTTTAATTTATTAAACTTTTTTAAAAAAAATAAAGTCTACATATAACATATATTCTAACTCTAACTATTAAAATCTTTAACGAAACTCTTAAACTGAGTCAGGGTTATCACTTAACAAATCAAACTTTAATTGTAACAATAAAATAAGAAATGCAAGATAATAATAATGATAGTAAAGAAATACAATAATAAAAACTAAACCAATAAAACAACATAAACTTAATACATATAAAAATCCAATTCTTATTATATACTCTATAACTAAAACATCGAAGGTTTTAAATCATCATTTGAGACAAAGTCTAGTCTATATAAACTAAGCCAATAGTCTGAGACGAAAGTCTATATATATAGAGACACAGTCTAGAGAAATGTTCAAGACGAAAGGTCTAATGAAACTAAACTAAGATGAAAACTCAGATTACAAATTGACAAAATGAACCTGTACCAATGTGCTAAAACATGCCAGATGATACTTCTAGAATAATGACTCCAGCAACAAGAGAAACACTGAAAAAAGTATAACTCTAACGTGAAGAAAAAGCACTGGAAAGGTTGGCTCTAACAATGAAAAAAACTCCAAAAGAAAAGTCCTCTGAAAATCCTAAAACAAAATACAACCGTTAGTAAACAAATCGCAAAAAGAAATATAAAAGCACCAAAATGGACGACTCCAATGATGAAGAAAAAGGCCAGAAAGAACGATTCCAGTGACGAAAGCACTGAGGGACGGCTCCAATGATGACGAGAAACCATAAAGAAACACATCTAAAAAACTTGAAAAAAAGTTAATACTTACAAACCAAAAAAAAACATGTCCAACTCTAACCAAGACACTCTAGCTCTAACACAATACTACCCAGTCTATACAAAACTTACTAAATCACAAAGAAAAACGAAATCTAAATTAAAAAAAAGACTATTAATAGAACAAAAAAAGTTTGTAGGCAAAATACTTACCTGAAACAAAATCTGAAGCCCCTGAAGAACTACTGGAGAAATAAACACCAAAATTATCGACTCCAACAACGCAAACGACGCAAGAAAAGTGCCAACCACTGATTAAAAAACATTGACACCAGTGGTGCAAGAAAAATGCCAACTACTAGAGAAAGAAATACTGCTACCAATGATGCAAGAAAAAATACAAGCCAACGATGCGAGAAAATACACCAACTACCGGCGAAAGAAGCCGCACTGAAATGAATGACACCAATAACGCAAGAAAAAGCACCAACTACTGGCGAAAGAAATCTATTATCTGAAAAAAAGAACAAATAAGCATTAGTATAATATACAAAAAAAAAAGCAAAATCAGATCACTGATCTGCATTCTGATTGGCCAGTGATATCTAAGCATATCGCAGGGTGCGATCTATACATTTATTCATCTTTTTAACTATATATACAATTTTAGATAAATTAAATATCTCTTTTCTTTCTAACTTATTCAAAATATATAACACCTTAATATGTTTTAATAAATTTCTCTTATATTATAAACTTCAAATTCTTCTATTCGTATAAACAATAACTTTTTTCCTTTCTATATTTAAACCAATTATCTACTTTTGTTTTTAGAACAATATATTAAAATCTTTATCAAACAAAATATAAACAATAAAAAGGTGTGGCAACTTAGTGTAGTTGGTTAGTTGTCGCCCTCCCAAGCGGCAAGTCTAGAGTTCGAATCTCATGGACGACGATTTTGAAAAATGGATCTGCGTACGGTTAACGGTTATTGATTATCGGTTGGATTTAATCTGTAATCTTGGTCACACCATCTAGTAATAGAAGCTTTGGCGCAATAAATCCGAGGAACTGGAATAACTGAAAACCCATTTGGCAAGTCCCGAGTTGGGATGTAGCAATGATTTTCGATGGTATCACAGGAGGGCTAAATTCGAACTGGGGCCCGAGATCGGAGAACCGAGCAACCAGGTTCTATAGCAGAGAACATATCAGCAGAACCACTGGGTTGTCGCACCGGAGGAAAAGGGCATACGCTCCGAAAGTATGACCAAGGGGAGGGCATCCTTCAGGCACCTAAAGCCTGGGCAGACCGACCCATCCGGGTTGCCGGCTGGAAGTAAGGGAGGGACCGATAGAGAA